TTGCGGGACCTCAGTGGGGAGCATGTCGATGCAATCATCTGGTCAGCTCCTCCCTGCTGTCTCCTTTTTATTTTGTCTCCTTTTTATTTTTTTTATTTTTTTTTTTTTGTCCCCTTTTTTTTTCTGTTTTCTGTTTTTTTCCTTTTGCTGTCTCCTTTTTATTTTGTCTCCTTTTTATTTTTTTCTTTTTTTTTCTTTTTTTTCTTTTTTTCCCCCATTTTCTCTTCTTTTTCTTGTCTCCTTTTTTTCTTTTTTTTCTTCTTGTCTTCTTTTTATTTTGTCTCCTTTTTGTTTTCTGCTTTTTTCTGTTTGCTGTCTCCTTTTTATTTTGTCTCCTTTTTATTTTTTTTTCTTTTTTCTTATTCTTTTGTCTCCTTTTTATTTTCTCCCCTTTTTGATTTCTTTTTTTTTCTTTTTTTGTCTCCTTTTTATTTTGTCTCCTTTTTATTTTCTCTTTCTCTGTCTCCTTTTTATTTTCGTTTTTTGTCTCCTTTTTATTTTGTCTCTTGTTTTATTCTGTCTCCTTTTTTGTTTTGTCTCCTTTTTATTTTGTCTCCTTTTTTGTCTCCTTTGTCATCTTTTGTTTTATTTTGTCTCTTGCTATTTCTGCTTCTCTTTCTGCTGCTGCTGCTGCTGCTACTGCTTCTGCTGCTGCTTTTGCTGCTGCATTTGCTGCTGCTGCTGCTGCTACTGCTGCTGCTTCTGCTGCTGCTGCTGCTGCTGCTGCTGCTGCTGCAGTGAGATGCTGCGTCGTTCTCTGCTGCGGGAGGAGTTTATTAAGGGGAGACGAAAATACACGGGGGCCACTGTCTTATAGTATGTCTTCTATCTATTTATTTTTTATTTTTTTTATTTTTTATTTTTTATTTATATTTATTTTTGTTTTGTCTTGTTTTGTTTTGTTTTATTTCATCTGCTGTCTCCTGATTCTGTTTCTCTTTTTCTGCTGCTGCTGCTGTCGCTACTAGCGCTACTGCTGCTGCTGCTGCTGCTACTGCTGCTGCTGCTGCTGCTGCTACTACTACTGCTCTTACCCCTGCAGTTCCTCCTGCTGCTGCTGCTGTTATTCCTGCTGCTACTGCTGCCGCTGCTGCTGCTGCTGCTGCTCCAACTCGTGCTGTTACTCCTGCTGCTGCTGCTGCTGCTGCTTCTGCTGCTGCTACTGCTGCTGCTGCTGCTGCTGCTGCTGCTGCTGCTGCTGCTGCTTGCAGTCCTGGTCCTGCTGCTCACGACTTTCTGTGTGAGAGTCGGCCTTTTGTTATTCGCGTTTGTCTCCCCAAGAACTCACCGAAGCCGCTGCCTGTAGCAGCAGCAGCAGCAACAGCAGCAGCAGCAACAGCAACAGCAGCAGCAACTGCAGCAACTGCAGCAACAGCAGCAACAGAAAGAACAAAAACAGCAGCAGCAGAAGGAACAGCAGCAGAGAGAACGAAGCTAAAGGCCCTACAAAAAGAAGAAATGCACCCTTATATAACTGCAGCACCAGCAGCAGCTGCTGCTGCAGCAACAGCAACAGCAGCAACAGCAGCAACAACAGCAGCAGCAACAGGAGCAGCAGCAGCAGCAAAAGGAACTCATGATTGGCAGCAAAAAGTTATTTCTGTCCGTTCTTATCACACAGTCAGTGCTGCTGCTGCTGCTCCTGCTGCTGCTGCTCCTCCTGCTGCTGTTGCTGCTGCTCCTGCTGCTGCTACTGCTGCTGCTGCTGCTGCTGCTGCTGCCCCAGCACCAGCGGGTGCGCGCAGTGCTCGAGCACAAGCAGCAGCAGCAGGCCTTCTGCGTGCAGCAGCAACAGCAACAGCAACAACAGGAGCAGCAGCAGCTGCTGCTGTTCCTGCTGCAGCTTCTATGTATTCTAGAGAGACCGCGCATGCAGCAGCAGTTGCTGCTGCTGTCCCTGCTGCTGCAGCAGGAACAGCAGCAGCAGCAGCTGCTGCTGTTCCTGCTGCTGCTTGTATGTATTCTAGAGAGACAGCGCATGCAGCAGCAGCAGCTGCTGCTGTTCCTGCTGCTGCTTGTATGTATTCTAGAGAGACAGCGCATGCAGCAGCAGAGCAGCAGCAGCAGCAAGAACAAGCAGCAGCATCCATCCCCCCTCCTCTCTTCTATGGCTTCGATGCTGAGCCAGCAGACACCTGGGTAAACCCTACTCAGTTTTCACCTGCTGCTG